TTATTTAGCTTGATTTTCTTATGGTGCGATGGTCAGAAATCAATATTTTTGAATCCCATCGATAAAGTAATTTTCTTATAGTCATAAAATATTATTTTACATATGTATTATACATTTAATAGTATAAAAACAAGGGAGATTTGCACAACTAACCTTTTTATTATACCATTTTCTATAAGTACCCTCTCTAGGTGTCCATTTTCAAAAATATCCTCTTCAATATACAAAATGACTAAATTACCCTCCTTTATTATAACCCATGATGAAGAAAGGAATATTCTTTCCAACAAGAAAAATATTCCTTCCGAAAAATTTCCCGCCAAATTTTCCCGCCAAAAAATTCCCGCCAAAAAATTTCGGCAAAAATTTTCCCGCCAAAAAATTCCGACAAAAAAATTTCCCGCCAAAAAAAAATTTCCCGCCAAAAAATTTCCGACAAAAATTTTTCCGCAATTCCTTAAAAAAACCTTGTAAATATTTATAAATCTTTTAAAAAATCCTTTAAAAACCCTTGTAAATCTTTAAAAAGTCATCCAAAACCTTTCAAAACTTGAGTAAACCTTTTAAAACCATTGTAAATCATTTTATAACATTTATAAACAGTTGTAAATCCCTTTAAACCCCTTATAACCGTGATAAATCATTTAATAAAAACTTTTGTAAACTTCTAAAACCCTTTAAAAACCCTTGTAAATCCTTAAAAACCATTTTAAAGAACTTGTAATACCTTTAAAAACTTTTGTAAACCCTTTAAAACTTCTTGTAAATCCTTTAAAACTATTTTTAAATCTTTGTATGCCTTTAAATACGCTTTTAAATCCTTTTTAAAACACTTGTAAATCCTTTTAAAAAACCTTTAAAAATCCTTGTAAATTTTTAAAATCCTTTAAAAATCCTTGTAAATCCTTTTAAAACTGTTATAAACTTATAAAAACTTTTAAAAACCATTGTAAATCATTTAAAAACCATTTAAAAACCTTTGTAGGCTTCTAAACCCCTTTAAAAACCATTACAAATCTTTTAAAAACCATTTAAAAACTCTTGTAAATCCCGTTAAAAACCCTTGTAAACCCTTTAAAAGACCCTTTAAAAAATCTTGTAAACCCTTTAAAAAAATTTGGCGGGAAAATTTTGAAAAAATATTTTTTTTTGCGGGAAAATTTTGCGGAATTTTTTTTGGCGGGAAAATATTCTCGGATTTTTTTTTGGCGGGAAAATTTTTCTCGGAAACTTTTTTGGCGGGAAAATTTTGGCGGGAAAGTTTTTGGCGGGAAATATTTGGGAGGAAAATTTTTGAATGGAATATTCCTTCCTTTGGGAAAGAATATTCTTTCAAATAGGGGTAAAATGGCCATTAAAATATAAGAGAGGGCAAAAATGAAAATGGTAAAAAAAAGGTATTTTTAAAAGAGGGTATCATAAAAAGGTTATTGGTATCAATTTCTCTAAAAACAATGAAAAAATGAAGAAGTACATAAAATAAAGAAGAAATATAATTGAAAACAAAAGTTTTAACCAAATATATAATCAAGCTCTTACAATGATATCTTAATTGAGCTTTCAACCCATGCAAGAACATTAAAAATTAAACAAAGAAAATATTGAGAATATCAGATATGGTAGAGGAGGATGTAAAAATGAGTATTTATAGGATAAAATATGATGTAAGTTACAATTCTAAAAGAATTAAATCAGAGGAGTTATAATTATATTTATAGTGTGTTAATTGAAGTTAAATGGAGGAAACAAATAGTCAATTGAAAGGTTATATAATTTAAGTTACAATTTAATAGTAAAGTGCGGATTTCAAGTATGAATTAAAGTATATGACTAAATGTGTTAGATATTTGGTTTAATTAAAAATAAATATTATAATTAAAAATAAATGCTAAATGGACTAATAAGGAGAGAGTGAAACCTTAAAAATTCCCAAAAAATAATTTTATTTTTAATCTCTTTTTATATTCTTCTTAATTTAAGTTATATTTCTAGGTTTAGTTATATTTTTCATCCTTGTAGTATATATAATAGATAGAAAATGGAATATCAAATTGTTTTTTAGATAGGAAATCAAGTATAAAATTCAAAGTTAAAACAAATTATAATATTCTTTGTATTATTACATGTTGAATCACAAACTAAATATAAGGATCATTATTCTTAAAAGAATGTCTTACAAATTGGTTTGATAATTATATAACAAAAAGTTTATTTTGTTAAAAAATTACATACTTTTGTAAATAAATTAAATATACATGAATATGTGAGAAAGAAACAAACATCCAAAGTAAAAGAATGAAGATGGTTTCTTTAGCTTGATTTTCTTATAACCATAAAATATTATTATACATATGTATTACATTTAAAAATATAAAAAAACAATGAAGACATAAAGAAATACATAAAAACAAAAAATAAATTAAATTGAAAACAAAAGTTTAAACTAAATAATTAATCAAACTCTTACAATGATATTTTAAATGAGTTTTCACCCCATGCAAGAACTTTAAAAAAAAAACAAAGAGAATAATGAAGATATGAGATATGGTAGAGAAGGATGTGAGAATGGCTATTTATATGATAAGAAGTGATGTAATTTACATTTTTAAAATAATTAAATTAGAGGAGTTGTAATTATAATTTATAGTGTGTTTAATTGGAATTCAATAAAGAAAACCAATAGTCTTTGGAAATTTATATAATTTTCAGTTTCATTTTAGTAGTAAAGTGTGAATTTAAAGTATGAATTAATGTATATGATTAAATGTGTTTTTTTGGTTAAAAATAAATATTATATTTTTAAAATAAATAAAAAATGGAACAATAAAGAGAGTGAAACCTTACTTTTATATATATGATTTTAAATAATTTTCCACCAATAAGGCTTATAAAATTTGTTTGTATGATATATGATTAAGTCCTTTCATTTTCTTTGCGATTTGATCATAACTTATAGTGTAATTAAATTTTGTATTGAATTATTGTCATAAACATTAATTTATTTATTTATTTTGTTGAATGATATATGATTAAGTCCTTTCATTTTCTTTGCCATTTGATTATAACTTATAGTGTAATTAAATTTTGTATTGATTGATTGTCATAAACATTTATTTATTTTTTATTTTTTTAAAAATGAAAGCCTTAAATATTTTTCCACCAATAAGGAGAGAGTGAAACCTTACTTTTATATATATGATATGATTATTATAAAGCACAAGTCACTTGACCAATTAAATTGTGACATTTCATCAATTAATAGCAAATTGTATTTAAAAAGTAACTTAAATATTTTTTCTTTCAAAAAGATGAACACGTTAAAAAAATAATCAGTTATATTGTCTAATAAAACTAACTTCTATTTGCATGGCAACTCAATAAAATATTTTCGGTGCAAAATATATAAAGTTGTTTACTTTTGATTATCCATAACAAAGAAAAAATTTCAAGTTACCATCCACGAACACGATCATGAGAAAACTTAATGCCCATGTTCTCTTTTTTTTTTCTAACTCCCACCCTATCGGTGTAAACCATCATAACCTTATTAACCATCTATAAGTACTTAAAAAATATCTATTGTCTTCTTCTACTTTTATTGTAGTCCAAAAATTGCAGACGCATTTCTCTCTAGGTAATACTTTTATTTCAATCTTTTCATGATTTCGTATTATATATTTGTTATTATTTCTTAATTTTTCTGTTTCTCATAAATTGTTTGATTCCTTATGCGTGATCCCTCAGTTTATAAATTCCTTTTATGTATTTTATTTGTAACAACAATCTTTTAGGTTGTTGAAAAGTAAGGTTTATAAGAATCTCATGTTTATGTTTGATCGAAATATGTTTAGAGTGGACATGAACAAAGTGAAAGAGAAAATAATGAAATATTTCTCAATGTCGGATGTTACTTTGTAATATGTATTTCCTTCAGGTAAAAACAAGATGTTATTCACAAAACAAAAAAAAAAATGTATCTCCTTGTGGTTCATTAATTTTTCTTGATATTCAATATATTGTTTCACTAATTTATCCTCTATAGCTGTGTTAATCTATAAAGTACCATGCATGTACATATGTATATATATAGGTAGTTTAAAGGGTTTGAAATTTTTTATAGATGATTATCATATTTATTCTAATATTCGATTTAAAATGGTTCTATATTAAATTTATATTAATATTATCGAGTTCTTTTATAGTTTAAGAGATTATATTTGGATGTGTCTTAGTATTGGACATTGATACATCAAATTAACAAAAATGGCCATAACTGCCACCTCATCGTCTCCATCGTGTTTTCTTTAACGTGTTCGTTTCAATTTATTTCAAAAGAGGTATTTTCTAAACTGTTGCACATAACACATAAACAGCACTAGAATCGAAACTACGACACCACCAAAGCTAGCTAAGACCAAAGAATAGTTTGGATTTAAGTTCCAAAACTTGTGTTATCTTCTAGAAAGCACTTCTTGTATATTCTTAGTATAGTAAAATTTTTAATTCTTGATCGTTTCCACCATACACATGACTCGACCATCACTCAATCTTTTCAACACCCAAAAATCTATAGAGCAAATGTAGAATAATGTTGAAAATGAAGAAACTCTGCATCTTCCCTTTTACTTACAATAGCTCATACGTGCGACTAGAAAAACCACTTTGTTTTGTTTTACATATCTATAAAAGTAAAATGCACCACACACACCAAGACACGGCTCATGGGTTTACTCAATGGGGGAAGAGACTAGAGAGTATGATAGTGAGAGACAACAGCAAAAGGCTATATCCAAATTTGGATAAAGAAGCTCTTAAGCGCGTAGACTTAGTGGTTACGTTGGGAAGAAGAACAAGTAAAGGAAAAAAGCAGAGCAGAGATCATCATCTCTCTGCTATAAAAACAGAGATGGGGTTCACAACTCAAAACATCACAACAAAAGAAACAACACAGAGCAAAAGATTCAAATTGTAAAGCAAACTTAAATCTTCTTTTCAAGAAAATGGGGATCGTAGGATTCAACTGGGCAGAGGAAGGCAACAACCAACTGGTGTTGCTGATGAACAGAGACAACTGGGGAAACAGGCAAGTCTAATATTTGATTCGACGTTTAACTTTCTTGGTACGTTAATGATCAACAGGGTCATATGCATGACTCTTTTAATATTTTTCTGTCTGATGGGATTAACAGGGTCATAAATGAGGCGTCGTGGAATGGCCAGATTTTGAGTGGTCGGAGTGCAGATAACAACGGAACGTGGTTGGCTATATCTCGAGGAGGCCGTGTTGCTTTTCTCATGAGTAAAGCGTTGTTGCTAGACCACGTTGTTCCAGACAGCGGCTGCGAGTTGTATCCCCATGAATTCTTGGAGGTTTGTTTCATTTCTTTTTGTTGTTTGCATATTTTTATACAAAACATATTAGATATCCACAGAACTCTCTGTTTTGGTTGCAGGGCAATATGAGTCCACAGGACTTTGCCGTGCAAGTAGCACAGCGTGACGTGGATAAACAAACTGGGTTGTCCTATAGCCTTATACTCGCGGACATGAATTCCAATTCAATGGTTCATATGAGGAAGCCTGATCAAGATGAGCATCAGGCTCATAACATGATGATAGAACACGTTCCGTTTGGTCTGCACACAGTTTCTCCTGACGGTGGTCTCGACTCCGCAAACTCTGTCAGGGTAATCAAGTTAATAGTGTCTTGTTTCCTTTTCGTATATGTTGTAGCTCTTTTAAACCCTCTTTTTTTTTTTTCTGCAGGCTTTACGCATGAGAGACCATTTTAATCATATTATTGGTGTGTTAGGAAATGATCAACTACCAGATGTTAAGGAGATTGCTAGGAGAGCAATTACCCCCGGGGTGTTTTTCGCAAATACGATTGAGCATCCTAACCCTGAAGTAAGAAAATTGATATAATGTTTCTATGATCCAATATTCTCCTACCATCATTAATTAGTTAGTTAATCTCTTTCTTTATTCATTTCGATTCAGCTTGGAATGCAACGTTTTGGAACAACTAGTACGACAGCATTAGCGGTTACACGCACTAGGGACGTGATGTTCTATGAGAGATACAGGGACATTAATGGTGAATGGACTTGGATCAAGCACGACTTCGATCTCAACATCTAGTAAAAGAGTTACAGAGAAACACTAAGCAGCACCCAAATATCTAAGTATCTAAATAATTAATAAGTAATCTTGTTGATGCTGTAAATACATCTCTCTACTCTAATTAACCTTGTCGATTCAGGGAAACATGTTTCCTTGGTCTGTCTAAGAGCATTATGATGCTTTATATAATAAATAAATAGTTTATGATCTTCTAAAATTTTCCTATGGTGACTTAAAAAGTATATCTTATGTTTTCCATCTATACAATTCTTGAACTATTGTTATAAATCTTACTCTTTACTTTCAACTTTATTTATGGAAAGGTGATAATGTACATAGTATTTTTGGAAATCCTGATTAAGCAATTTCAAGCAATATAAGTCAAGAACCGTTAAAGTTATTTGTCAGAACCTTTGACATCAACAACGTATTTTCTATAGTTAATCTAGACTCTAGCTATTAGTACTTACTAAAACCTAAACGTAACCAAAAGAGTAAATAAGAACTTGAAATCAAGAAAAATCAAGAAGTACATGTAGATATTAGGAAAAAACCAAGAACATATAGAAATTACGAAAAAGCATGCACACTGTACTTTCATAAATTATCATACTTAATTTTACACGAATCAGCAAAACTGGAATATTAGTATGGAGCCACTAACAACCCCTATGGTACCCTTTTCAGATTTTGGTATGAATGCGATCAAATTTTTCGTATTAATGTAAATCTTCAACGTGTGTACCTAGAAATCTCTTTTCTTCTCTTTTTTTTTTTTGGTTATGTTACGTCTTAAATGATTTCAAATGTATATACGTACTTAACTTAAGTGTCTATTTGATAAAACAAGGTCACCTAACCACTGTATAGGCTCGGATTACAAAAGTTAAGACCAAATACTAGTTGGATTTGAGTCTTAATCTTGTGTGCCACTAAAAACCATCTTTGTATATTTTTAGAATAGTAAATATATTTCTGAAGTGTTCCACATACACATGAATCCTCCTTAGTCAATCCGTAAGAAAGCTGGAGCAAATTAAAGTGGAACAATTTATATTTATAAAATAGTGAAAAATCATGTGTGGATTTTACTAAGGAAGATTCATGTGCGATGTAGGTCACTAATTTTACCAAGGAATAGGAATGAATAAAAAACTAATAAAACCAATATAGCAGTTATTTACGGATCACCATACGAGACATGCACTAATAATTACATACAAATTATCTATTTAAACCAAGTGTATGCAAGGATTTCAAGTTTTCAACCATTAAAAAACCAAAAAAAGGAAATAACAAAAAATAACCAAAAAAAAAAAAAAAACAACAACAACAAAAAACCAAAAAAAAAACGAAAATTGTTTTTGAGAAATCTTCACAAGAAATGTCATCATCACATTATGCGATCCTTTTCATCATCGCAATTTCTCTCGCTCCTCTACATGGATGTATGTTTTATGAAACTATGCGTATATATAAATAATCGTTTTCTCATTTGCTTACTATCATCACCTTCGTAATGATCATATTCTTATATCCATAATCTTAATTTCTAACTTCTAATTTATTTTTCTTATACATATATATAGCTGGGAAAACACAAAGTCTTGACGCCAGCAACAGCAAGACAGGTTCGACTTTCAAATCATTAAAAGTAACAAATAAATAATTAACAATAATATATCACAAAAACGTTCATCATGATCACGTTTCTTAAACTTTTAATACTTTTTTGTTTTCTTGATTTTATAGCTGTAAATGGAGGAAAAGGTGTTGAATCGAACAAGTTAGGTTCATCAGTGTGCCTTGTTGAAAGATGTCCAAGGCATCACGGCCACGGATCAGATGTGTGTTATTGCTGTTTCAGAGATAGTCGGAGGTGTTCTCGTAATTTATATGCTTGTGCAAGTGACTGCATTCGCCAACCTCCTTCTATGCATTAACTTAATCTTATAATGCATGACCTTATAATAGCTACATGCTTTACTTACCTTACGAAGACAAATACAATATAATTATGCTCACCGTTATTGTGTTTATTAGAGCTATTTAAAGTTTTACGTATGTTAATTTATATTTGCTATTCATTTTCTAACAATTTATTATAAAATAATAAATTTAATACAATACATTGTAAACTTAATACGATTTTGTAAAAAAATAATGATAATATCATAGTTGTATTAATTACAGGAAGTTTTTTTTTTCTTTTTTTGTAATGTAGTAGGAAAATATCTGAATAAAGTTTATATAACAATCTCTTCTTTAGTATTTCCTTGTTGTAATGACTATATGTTTGATTTGAGACTCGTTGTATTAGACGTTGACATTTTAAGACTTTATCTTTGTGAAAATTGGTTATCTATATATATAAAGTTAGTTTTTTCTCTCTTCTCATTATGCCACCTAAGCCACATTTTTGTTTAAACATTAAAATAAATTTAAAACATTCATTTAGTGCATATTTATGTTACTTATTTAATTAATAGAAAGTTTATATACATAAAATAAATTATGTAAAAAATGAAATGTTAAAATAAGAAAAACAATACTTTAATTTTTTTTATTAGTGGTAATAATATAATTCAACTTTCATTTTAAATTGATCATAATTTAATATTTTAAATATGTTACTGAGTTTTAGAATGAAAGTAAAATTTAAATTTATGGTAGACTAAAACAACATTTATGTAATTGTATATAAAAAATTATAAAGAGGAAAAATAATATGAAAGTGAAATATTAGTTTATAACATGATCAAAAAGAAAAAAAAATGATATTTCATAAATTGAATCAAATGCTTTTAATCCAAATTTGAGTATTGAAAGATAATAATTAAAGAGAAAATACTTATAACATTTTTTGAAAATCAATTAAAAAATAATAAAATATCACAATATGAATAAAAAATCAACAAAACAAAATTATAAATCGCGCGGGTCAACTGCTAGTAGTCTTATAGATTAAAATTTAAAACGTATATACATATGTCAGTTTGATTATTTTTTGTTTAAAATTGGTATATTGATTATTAACATATAATTACGACGAACAAGATTTAACTCTTCGTAGCACTTGAAAACATGATATATATGTCATATGTGGTTCCATTAATTAACAACTCTATAACTTCAAGATATATGATTTGACAATTTTGTTTTTCACATATGGGATACATATATCACGTTAACATTCTCAGTTTGCTTTCATTAATTAGCAAAATCCTTGTTTAGAAAATCAAACTTCATAACTAATGGTAAATAAATTAATAAAGAAAACTAAACCTTTAATTTAGTTAAGACTTTTACCAATGACCAAAAAAAATTAATTACTGTTACATTTTTATTCATAGAGTACAATCGCTAAAAATCTACGACGAACAAAGCATTTGAATTCAACATTTGTCTAAGCTATTTGAGAACAGAGTGATTTTTTATTATTTACAAATTGTAAGAAAAAGTGAAACCCTAAATGGAAAAAGGAATATATTAAACAATTAAATGATAATGTATTAAAATTTTAAGAAAATAAAAATGATTAATCTTTTTATAACGTAGTTTCTGAATCCATAAAACTAGAGAATATTATTTCTTTACGGCTCATTTTATGGTTTCATTATAAATACACAAACAGCTTCTTTCAAAAATCTTCTTAGTCACGCTTTCAGTAGTTAATTCCTTGCTGAAGACGTCACACCGACGGCGATGGCTATAATCTCTGAAACTTCCGAAGACGGCTCTATCGGCGGCGATCCAAGCAAGAAACCCGAAGAACTCCACAAGAACCCAACAGAAGAAGACGAAGAAGACGAAGAAGAGAATCAAAACAAGAACCCTAACGAAGAAGACGTTCAAGAAGAAGAAGTAGAGAATCGTGCTCCGGTTCTTTATGCTTTGATCGGATTCCCGCTTAATAACTTCCCGAGCTGGTACATTCTCAACCTTGAGCGAGGTTTGAGCGAGGTCGGTTCACTTCCTCCTATGAATCCTGGCTCTGCTGTGGTCACAATCGGGTACAATATGTATGTGATGGGTGGATGGATCGGGTTGAATCATCCTGTATCAACTGTGTTTGTCATCGACTGTAGACTCCACACGTGTGGCTATCTCCCACGTATGAAAAGGCCTCGGTACCGTGCAGCAGCCGGAGTAGTTGACGGAAAGATTTATGTCATCGGAGGTCGTGAGAAGGGATATGATGAAGATTGGATCGAAGTGTTCGATGTAGAGAAGAGGACTTGGAGTAGTGTGCCTGATCCATCCGATTGCAATTCAAGTTTGCCAGGAGGAGGGTTTGTGACGTCTGTGGTGATGCAAGATAGGATTTACATTTTGGATGCTGTACGTGGTTTGGTTTACGAACCAAGACAAGGTATATGGCAGTCATGGGAAAGTGGAACTACGTTGATGGAACTTTGGCGAAATAAGTCGTGTTGTGTGATTGATGATATGTTGTATAGCTTTGATCCATGGTGTGTTCTTAAACATCCAATAGTGGTGTTTGATCCAGATGAAATGGTTTGGTCTCCTGTGAAGGGTGTAGATCATGGTTTGCCTAACCTCCATTACTTTGAGTGTAAAATGGGGAATTTGGGTGGGAAGTTGATGGTTTTTGGCGCTCTTTACAAAGACACTTGGTGCATAGAGATTACGTTAGAGAAACGTGAAGGAGGTGAGATTTGGGGGAAGGTCGATTCACAGAAGCGTGTGCTTAGCTCAGTGAACGCGCCTCATATTGATTTTTGTTGCTCTGTTACGTTTTGATGATCTGTGGGATGGTTTCTTGCAGTTGAAGGTATGTTTAGTCTTTGATGTGCATGGATGGACTATATTGATGATGATAAATGACATTTTCTCTAGCCTCAAGTCTTGTACAAAAATGTGATTACTTTTAACGGAATAGGCCTTGTGTAGGCAACTCTTTGTACTTATTAAGATTCTTTTACGAGACTTGTTGCGAAATAATGCATCTTTGGTTTATTGCTAGTTTCTGGTTCTTTCTGTTTTGTGAGATATAATACAATTCTTCAGATTTAGCGAAACCTAATCTGCTTCTACAAATGGTTTGGATTGGGGATGAAGCAAATTAAAGCAAAAGGGATTTATTTTGCATACAATCAAAGTGAGAAAACATAAACTCTTGAAAGCTATACATAGAGAGGATAACCGAAATATATTTTTTTTTTTTTAACACTGAAAAGACTCACACTGTGGTTTCAATCAAGTACATGAGCAATGTGAAACCCTTGGCTCAGAGATGTGAAAATGGACTAAAACAAACCGGAAAATAATAAGGAGAGGAAAATAACTAAATTAAATTAATTAATTTTCACTAAACTGAGATTTCATTGTACAATTAATTAATTAATAATAAGATTTTTTTTTGGGGAATAATGATAATAATCGTTAAAAGTAAATTGCCAATTTTAGGAAAATAACTAAATTAAGTTAACAAAAAGTTTCAATAATATTTCGTTGTTGTAATGACTTTATTCTCTGGACTTTGACATTTTAATGACTTTTTATTTATCTTTGGCACAATTGGTTTAATAATCTTTAAAGTCATTATAATATTTCCGTTAATATTATAGATTTTTTTTAATAATCTTTTTGGAAACGAGTTTAAAGAAGAGAAAAATGAAACGAGAGAATATCTATTTTACGTACGCCTTTATAAAATATACGGTTTCATTATAAATACATAAAACGGACGTAACAGCTTCAAATTCTACTTTAGTCTTCTCCTTTTCAGTTAGTTCGTTGCTTCTGAAGACTTCAACACCGACGGCGATGGCTATAATCTCTGAAACTTCCGACGACGTCTCTAACGGCGGCGATCCAAACAAGAATCCGCAAGAAGACGAGAAACCGAAAGAAGAAGATCAAGAAGAAGAGAATCTTGCTCCGATTCTTCTACCCATCCCGGAAGGACTCGCCGAAAGCATCCTCTTACGCGTCCAGAGTTGTTACTACCCGAAGCTATCTCTCTTCTCCATAACCTTTCGTCACGTCGTCGCTTCACCGGAACTCTACCAAAGGCGCTTGCAACTCGGCCTCGCCGAACCGGTTCTTTACGCTTCGATCCGGTTCCCTCATGTTAGTTATAACCCGAGCTGGTACATTCTCAATCGTAACGTTCCAAGAAAGATCTCTTCCCGACTGAGTTCACTTCCTCCTATGAGTCTCATGAAGCCTAGATCTGCTGTAGTCACAGTCGGATATGATATGTATGTGATCGGCGGATGCGATGAACCAAATCATCCCACATCGAACGTGTACATCATCGACTGCAGATTTCATCAGTGTCGCTCGCTCCCTGGAATGCAGAGGGCTCGCAGCTCCCCAGCCGCAGGAGTAATCGATAGAAAGATTTATGTGATAGGAGGTTGCGAGCAGAGAGATGATAACTGGATCGAGGTGTTCGATGTAGATACTGGGATTTGGAGTAGTGTTGCTGGTCCATACGAATACAACTCTAGTAGGGTAGACGGAGGGTTTCTGACGTATGTGGTGATGCAAGAGAGAATCTACATTTTGGATTTTCTGTGGTCTTTGGCTTACGAACCAAGACAAGGTACATGGGAGTCATGGGGACTTGTAAGTCCGTTGACGGTATATTGGCACCAGTCGTCTTGTGTGATTGAGGGTTTGTTGTATAGTATTAGTCCTTTGTGTATTACAAGACATCTACATGTATCGGTGTATAATCCGGATGAGTCGTTTTGGAGACCTCTGGAAGGTGTATCTTATTTGCCTAAGCTCAATTATTTTGAGTGTCAAATGGCGAATGTTGGTGGGAAGTTGGTGGTTTTGGCTAAAACTTCTGTTGGATATGGGCCTTGCCCTTTCCAAATTAGAAGGTCCATAAAACAAGATATGTCAATTAATGAAGCCTTTCACCCAAAAATAGGCCCAGTACCTTCGCAGGGGTAAAACCGTCATTCGCCAAGGAGACACAAAGAGCTTCTAGGTTTCTGTGCAACTATAAATACATTAAACCACTGTTTGGAACAGGGATCGGTCCGGAGGTTATTATCCACCAGACTGAGAATCGTGTCGCGCCCGAACTCGCCCTAGCCCGAGATTCCCGCCGCGACTCTCTTTCTCGTGATTTTGCCCTTCTGTTTCGTATTAGGTTCTCAGCTCGGCAGATAGTCTATAACTGCCGCAGCGAGACTTCTCTCTTTGTAACTTCGGATTTTCCGCAAAAGCTAATAAAGAAAATTGTTTCGTATCGTCCCAAAAATCTCGTATCATTATTGTAGCTGCTCCCCCCTTGCACAAACAATTGGCGCCCACCGTGGGGCATACGAAGCACTTCTTTCTTGGCAACCTTGAAAATTTCGAAGTCTCCCGGAGAATCCAAAGCAACATGTCCGACGCAAACTCATCCAGCGACAGGGGAACGAACACCTCCCGACGCCCGGATCCCGACGCGCCCGTTCTGTCTCCGGAGCGGCACCTGTGGGGACGCAGAAGAGCCCGAACGAATATGCTACCACACCTCACTGGAGCAACGACAGCAGGCGCCGCGCCCACGAATGTCGATCCAGAACGTGCCGAGCCGGAAACTGCTGAAACGGAAAACGCCGAGCCGGGCCAAAGACTGCCGCACCGCCGTGCCGAGCCAGAGACTGTCGAGGTGGAAGCTGCCAATCCAAGACAGATACCCCCGGCCCGGCAAACCGATCATGTGCATGCCGCCCCGAGAAACACCAGGCCAGTACGCATCGCTCCGGCCACCGCGGCTACTGCCCATGGTGGAACTCACCTTGACGGCCTGATGCAAACCATCCTCGACCGTCTCGACGACCAGGACGTACGAACCTCCGAGAGGATCAACGCACTTGGAGAGGCGAACGCAGACACCCGAAATAGGATTGACCGGCTTAGGCGCCATCGACACAGCTCGCGACCTCACCATTCCCGGCTGGAAGAAACATCGCCCCCGCCTACTCCGTTAGACGAACGCACCAGGGACCAAAGACGCCAGCCGGCGTCGATTATTGTGGGATCCATCGATGAGCTCCAACACGAGAACCGGCCTGGCAGTCGAAACAGAACGAACGACCATCTCCACCGCCGCGACCAACATCCGACAAACGTACGACACCTAGTCAGCCGACCCGCGAGCGAGGAGAGCCAGGCCCGAAACCAAGAGCTGGCGCAACTGCAGGCACAGATCAAGGACTTGTCTTCCAAAATGCGGCAAGCCAGCACGGCACCCGATCTAGAGAAGGTGCTCGAAGAAATGCAGCGGTC